ATAATAGTTATAACTAGTCATACTAGTTATAATAGTCATAATAGTAATAGCAATACTACTACTAGTAGCAGTAATAGCAGTGATGGTAGTAACAGAAGGAGCAGCAGTAGGAGCAACAATTATAGTAGTTGTAGCTACAGTGATAGTAGAAATAACAGTGACAAGCTGGGCGTGCGGGCATATGCCTGTCATCACAGCACTCAGGAGGCCGAGTCAGGAGGTTGTGGAGAGCTGCGAAGGACCGCGCCTACAAGATGGCGCTGGTTTCCGCCTTCCACCCCCCCCCCGTGGGTGAGCGCTCTCTGTGCACAACAACTCCTTATATGGCCAGGGCTGCAGTCATGATTCGCTTCCGCATATGCTGGACCCATGGGCGATCCCCACGTGGCACACTGGGATTGGGCTCGGGAGTATATATTAGCCAAGGGCTGGGGGATTGGAGAGAGAAGAAGCTTGCTGTAAGGGGCCTGAACAAAACGCTGAAGGAAGAGCTGTGTGTTGCGTCTTCCTTGCTGGCGAGGTCGTGCGCAACAGGAGGTCGCTGTGAGTTTGAGGCCAGCCTGAACTACACAGGGAGATCCTGTTTCAAAGAGCAAAGCAAAACAAAAACAAGACATAGCAGTGATAAAAATATTAAAAGTAGCTGCGGTAGCAGGAATGATAATAGTGGTATAGCAACAGCGACTGTAACACAACACATTTGTGTGTCTAAGCAGAGCTAAACGCAGAAAAGGTACACTAAAAATACAAATATTAAGAATGTTTAAGTCCCACTGTAATCTTGTGGGGCGCCTTCATAGATGCAGTCCATGGCTGACCAAGACATGATGCTGTGCATGATCATATTAGTAGCTGCACTGGCGGCATTAGTGAGCTCAGCAGCAACAGTGGACATGCGAACAATAAAACAGCAGCCAGGGTCTCAATGAAGACAAGGGCAATAGCAGCATACTGGTGCTGTAGTAGTCACAGTGGTGGTGGCTGCGGCAGCCTCACTGTGCTACTGGTTCTTACTTGGACAGCTGCCTCTGAGTAGTCTTGACAGCTGAGATGGTCCTGTTCGCCATTCCTCCATAGCAAAGGGACAGCTCCAACACTTCCGTGGTCATTGGCTTGAAAAGCACTCTCATTCCACAGGTCACCTTGGCAATGTCATCTTCTCTCCGGGCGGCCTGCTTGAACGCTGAGAAGAACTCACCCTAAAAAAAAGAACAGGTTCCCTACTTCATTTTGCCAGGAGTACAAATGGCCAGCCTGAAGCACGGGGCTGTGAGTGACAGGAGGTGAGGGGTTTACACCATGGCTTGGGAGGGGGATGCTCTAGGAATCAGACATGACATAATTGACTACATTTTTAGATGTTACAGCACATTCCCAGAAGCCTGAAGGGGTAAGGATTTCTCCCTCTTCACTGGGCAAAGGAAGGCTGGGATGGGTTCAGATCAGTCCACTGAATGAGAATCTGGGACCAGGAGGGTGCCTTTCAGGAGGCTCCTGGGAGCCCTGCCCTGGTGCTCAATGGCTGCCCACCCTCACTGAAACTCTGTGGGCTTGGTGCTTCTGACAGGCCAGGCAGATGTTGCAGGCCAGTGCAAACCCCTCCCACCAGTCTCTGGGAGACTTTGGGAAATCCTATTTCTAGCAGGAAAGTGTCCATCTATGAAAGAGCAGCTGTTTGGGGACTTAGAGCACTCCCCCCACCCCACCCTCGGTTCCCAGCCCACTGTCTTTGGACAAAATAATGTGAATCACTTCCCAGGGAATGTGACAGTTCAGCTTGTCCACTTGATTGCTTTGGGAGCCACCAGGGGATTGGAGAAGCACACTTCTGGGTGTGTCTTGGCAGGACATGGGGGCGTGACCTTGGAGTCTCTATCTGGTCCCTGCCCCTGGCATCTTCTTTTCTGGTGCTGTCCCCGGCTCTGTTTCCAAGCCATCAGGAGGTAAGCCGCATTCTTCTGCCAAACCCATCCCCCTACTTCCCTGCCTTGGATTCAGCCAACCAGAGGCTGAAACCCATAAAACCAGAGTCAAGATAAATAGCTCCTCCTCTTAACTGTGGGTGCCAGGTATTGCACTCCAGTGGTGAAAAGCTGACTGATGCAGGGGAAAACCTTCTGACTTCAGCCCTTCCAGGTTAGGGTGCTCTTGATGTTTGTAACCACCACACATTCTACCAAGAGGAGGGGGTTAAAGGCAGATCAATGAGGGAGAGTACAGCAGACTCCCTGTTGAATCCCCAAATGGTACAGGTCCTGCTTGTCATAGCCAGGGAGCCCTCTCCTGATGACTAAGCCAGCTCAGATCCCTCAGTGATGTCATGCCCTGGGGAGCCGAGCCCAGTGTTTGAACTTGGCTCTGGATTGAGTCCAGATGCTCACACCCCGTGTCATGTATGCACAGTCTTGTGACATTTTCTCTGGGGTGCCACCAGCTGTTGAAGGCTGGTTGACATCATTTTCTCATTCTGGGCATTACAATCTCCTTTCTTTGATGAAACCAATTTTTTGTTGTTAGCACCTATACCTAGCAAAATAAGAACTGAGTAGTAGTCCTAAGACTGTTTTCCTTTCCCCATTCATAGTTTGGAAAAAACTGAGTGATCAGTGAAATTCAAAACTCTCAGAATCACGTCTCAAAAGGGTCTATAAAGACAAGCTAGAAAATCGTTAAGAAATTAGCTGAGGGCATAATTACGCTAATTGAATTAGCATTCTCATTAAAGAGGTCAAAATCAGCAAGGGCAAACATGCCTGGCACTCTTGTTAATGCACCAGCAGTGATAAACCCTTTGCTTTCCTCAGCCTGCTGCTAACTCCCCAGAGTCTCCCAGAGTGCTTTCTAAAGGGCTCATTGTGAAGAGTCCCTAGCTGATGGCTGCTGAGAAAGGCGAGAACCTCCATGGTCAGACCACCTCAGACCTCAAGGAAGAAAAACGAGGCAGCCAGCAGTGCCCAGGCCTGGCCCAACAAGCCAGAGAAGCTGCCCACAGGGCAGAAATCCAGCACCACCAGCCCAGAGCAAGATCAACGAACCAACATCTTGTCAAGGCCAAGGTTAGCGCAGCTTCTCTACTGCGCATGCCTCCTGTAGGGGATCTCGATGGAAGCTCTGCGCTCTTCAATGTGGGGAACCGAGCTCTGGCTGTGGGCAGGAATACCCAACAGCTGGAGGTGTTCTCAGGACTCTGGTGTTAACTATTAGCTTGTGATCACCACTCGCTTCCAAACATCTGCCAGGAAATGTATGAATTGCCTATTTTAGTCCTCACAGTAACCTCCATAATAGGTAATACTGTGTGTCCACTTTACAGATGAGGACATCAGGACTCAGAAAGATAAGGGGATCTCACTTGAGATCGCAAGCCTAGGCACTCTTACTCTGCAAGTTCTCATAGCCTGAGAGGAAAACAGTTGGCTTATGAGAGGCCAGGTTCAGAGAGAAAGACATCAATGTCTCTGAGGCAGACTCTGGTCTTGTTTAGAGCCCAGCAGTAGGTGTAGCTTGGGCTCTGTCCACCTCACCTCCCTGCTGTAGGGGATCTCGATGGAAAAAAGTATCTCCTCTGGACTCAGCAAAGTCCTTCTGTAGCCAGGGAAGAAAGTGTGGTCCATTCGAACAGTTCTCCTGGTACCTGCGTGGAGACAGAAAGAAGAGGACCAAGGTGAGGGCAAGGCTGGGGATCCAAGGGCATAGAGGAGAGCCTACCAGTGGACCTGGTTCTTCTTCCTGTTCTCTGAGGCCCACAGTGAGAGGGAGCGGTTGGCACAGTCAGGGCCAAGACTACCAAATGAAGTCTTTGAGCATTGCTGGGAATGTGTGACAACGATCCCCGATTTGTAGCATCTGTCAGGGTGTATTATGAATACTCCTACCACAGCCAATTTCAAGGAGCCACAGTGACATCACTGACTTGGGAACAGGGTGGCAGAGTTAACATGGAAGCCTGGACTGCTGCCCTCTGTGAAGCACTTGACTGGCATCTGAGAACAAGGATTCTGGAAGGGGTCTCACCGTTCTGTGGTTAGTGTGGCTAACAGGTTCCGCTGAGCACCTACTTTCCTTCTGGGATCCTGCCTTAGTTACTATTCTCTCATTGGTGAGACAAAATACCTGACACCAGAATTAAGGATAAACTTATTTAGCTCACACTTTGTGGAGGTGACAGTCTGTAATCAGCTGGCTCCAAGGCAGGGTGGCATGGCACAGAGGCAGTGCTTCCAAGCAGCAGAAGACAGCAAAAAAACAGCAAGAGCAGAAAGGGGGAAAGCAAGCCTCTTCTCCTCCCTTATACTGTAAGCAGGCTCCCCCTACCCAGGCTCCCCCCATGCCTGGGAATAGCACTCACACCATCTCCATGCCCTCCTCTTGCCCAGGCTCAGGATGAATACAAAGTAAGGCCTCTGGCCCCCTCCTGCATCACTTAGACAACCTTCTAAACTTCCCAAGTTGACATCCTAAGCCCTTCCTAGAGCTGTCAGGGCTCCTTTTCATCCCAAGATGTAGTACAGCTGAGTCACTTAGTGAAGCTTCTAGATTCCTCAAGCTGACAGAATGTGTCAACCATAACAGAACCTGAACTTTGGTGCATGCCAAGCAGTGTTACCTATATGACCAGAACGCAAGAACTCTGGGCTCTAAGTCTCTACCAAACTTTCCTCAGAGAAAATATTTCATGTGAGTCTTCACAACTCTTTTCTGGGGGAATTAAGTACATTCTGGTGTCTCCCCAGGAGAGGACTCTGGAGGCTTGTGCCTGGTGTCCTCTATTCATTTTCCTTTCGCTGATTTTGCTTAGTATTTTTCTGCTGTAACAATCCATAGCATGACTGAATCCTCTCAGCAAACTGTTAGACCTGGAGAGGTCTCCAGAACCCTCCAAAAAGGCAGATGCACCGGAGTTGGCCAGTGAGAGCACTTTCACCACACAGACAACTACAGATGTAAATAATCTTGAGGGCATAGAAAATAATGAAATGAAATAAGACAGCTGGAAGGTAATAGACTTTGTGTATTTATTACCTTTGTCTTTAAAGTAATTATTTCATTGTGTTGTGTAACTTAAATTTTAATAATGACCACATTTAACAAATGACTCACAAATTCCTTATGAGCCAACCATCAGCTGTGGAAGGCCAGCATTTTCAGCTCCAATGACTCCCCATCCCCCCATGTACTCCACCAAGCTAAGTGTAATGATTAATGTTGAGTATCAGTTTGATGGGATTGGGAGAGTGGTGATTCCATCAAGTGGATTAGCCCAGTGACTAGTTCATCAGCAGAATTAACTTATTAGTTGAGATGTAATTGGATGAAGCAGGTCAGTGAAGGTATGACTTTGAAGGGTTTATTTTGTCTGTGGCCCTTTCCCTCTGGCTCCTCGCTCTCTCTACTTCCATGAGGGTAAGAAGTCTTCCTCCACCAGGATATTCCTGCTATGGATCCAGCTTACCAGGGCCTGGAACCTCTGAAACCATAAGCCATAATAACCTCTCCTCCTTTAAACTGTGTGTGTCAGATATTTTGTCCCAATAATGGAAAGTTGAGTAATACAGTGAGGCATCCAGATGGCAGATCCTGCTGTGAATTCTCCATAAAGAAAAGATGCTTCCCTCCTAGACCCCAGCCTAGAGGCATCCCCCTGCAGTTTTCAGGACTAAACCTAAAGACAGCTGGGTCACTGACTTCAGGGCTCTGTTTCTCCAGAAAATAAATGATGCAATGAGAATTTCTCCACAAAGTCCTTTTTTCCAGACCTCTGCTTTAATTAACCTACCTTTGGACACAAGGGTCAGCTTGGCTCCACTGGCCATAAACACAGGGTTGAGGTCGGAGATGGGGCTGGCGGTGATGATGTTCCCTCCAATGGACTAGGACAAGCAAAGAGTGTGAGTTAGACACCAGGACCCACACAGTCACACCTGCACACAGGACAGGTGGATAACAGCTGCTTCAGGGGGCACCTGAGTGCCTGCACCTGCCACAGATGCTAGATGCATAGGAAACACGTGGGCCTTTGGGGAAATGTGCAAAACGTGAGTCCTAGCTCAGAAATTCATGAGTAGTAAACTAAGGCAAGCCTTTTAAATGGTTTTATCTCTCCCAACCTTTTCTGAAAGGACCAAGTGGTTGATCACAGAGGTTTATGGAAGTTAATAAGGTAGAAGATAAAAATCACAGAGAAAGAGGAAGAAGACTTAAGGATGAATAGTTCATTCTCTTTGGATCTGAATTTCCTGACAACTTGACAAGAAATGGAAGAAGAATCAGAGGATTTTCATTACTGGAAATGAGAAGGAAAAGCACTGTGTGGTGGAAATGAAGTCCTTCCTAGAAATAGACTTCGCAGAACCGGAGAGCACAGAAGTGCCTTTGGGGTTTGCCCTTCCTTATCTGTAGTCAGGAGAAACAGGTGCCTGGGTAGCATAAATGGGGTGGGGGGAATGGGCTGCTTTGTTTGGTTCCATTCCATTTCAAAATTTTAAAACAACAATCAGAAAAGAAAAAAAGCAGAAGAGATAGATTGCCTTCCAGTGCCATGACACCACCCACTGCTGTGACCCCAAGTGACGCAGAGAGTATGTGAACCCCAGTGTTTGCAAATTGAAAATCCAGGTTTGGTCTAAGCCTGATTGAACACAACTGAGTTGATTGAACAGTCAGCAACTGGACCCCCTCCTTCAGGAAAAGCGAGGCAGGCAGGTGCACCTTCCCAATCTCAGGGTTCAACACTGAGAGGCTTCTTCGATTGGCCCTTAGACCACCTCCATCAGAAGTACCCAAGGCATTTGTTAACTAACTGAGCACACCGCACAGTCACCAAGTCAGAAGCTCTCAGGGTGGGGTCCAGACTTGCAGTCAAGCAAGCACCCCAAACAAATCTAAGCAGTAAAGTTTGGGGACCAGTGAATTGAAACAAGTGGGTGTCTGCAGCCTGGCTCACCTTCTACCCTATGGCACCTGCACTACCCTGATCGGGGGTACTCACGGCCACAGATTTGATCTGCTTCCCCGCAAACCAGCGCAGCTGCTCCACAACGCCCTTGAACACCTCGGTCATGTGGGCAGGGAGGCCCGCAATCGCCTCGTGCAGGACCTGTTCCATGCAGCTCAGGGAACAAGCGGCTCCAAAGGTGATACCTGGGGGCACACGCCCAGAGTGAGATCCACCCTTGCTACAGCTCAGCGAGCGTTTTCAAAATCAGCTCCCGGAACGCCTCAGCAAGGCTAGACCAGGACTTACATATTTAGAAAGATAAAGAAATTAAGACCCAGGGAAGTTAAATGACTTAAACAACCCCACACTGTTAACAAGAGCCAGGACTCAACCCCAGGGCCCTGGACTCTATAGCCAATACTCTTTCCTCTAAACCAGTATATAGCATCAGGATCTCTGTGGATGTGGTCCTGGCATTTTTTTTAAATTAAAAAAGCACCAAGCACTGTCAACCGCCACCTCACCTCTCACGAGCGATTCTAACATGTAGTCAGAACTCAGGGTGACTACTGAAGCCCCAGCCTCTTGCCTGCTGGTACCCAACCGTGAATGCTTTGTGGGAGAAAGCCTGCGAGGACCGCCCCTCCCCACAAACCCCTTTCCGTTGGCAAGGTAGCTCTAGGGGAAGCAGGAGACAGTCAAAGCAGGCCTGGCACCTGGTCCCCCTGTGGCCCACCCTCCGCACCACTGCTCCTCCGTGGGCTCAGCGCAAGCCCTCCTTACCCTCAGGCCCATGCTGCACTGCCGTCAGCTCAGAGATCCAGGCTGGGCAGACAATCATAGGATACACCATATTCTTGAACTTCATCTCAATGCCTCGAGGGAAGGGAGAAGCCGGAAGTTAGACCTCAGTGGTCCCCCTGTCATCCCACACAGGCACCTGACAGCTTTATGACCACAGCATGGTACTGGGCAGTGGGAACACATCTCCAACACATGGGCCACAACTCCTGTTTGTGCCACTGAAAGCTCTAAGAGGTTTGCCATCATCGTCCTGGAGGAGCTAGGGATTGGGGAGCACAGTGGACAAGGGATGAACGAGGTCAGCAACAAAATGTCGTATTTGCACTCAGAAGAAAACAAAACCTATCTAAATTCAATTGATATGAATTTGAATTCATTGTGTGTGTGTGTGTGTGTGTGTGTGTGTGTGTAACTATGCATGTGTAATAACACTTTAGAGCATTAGTTTTGTCAGGAATTCTTAACATTTTGCCCACCTTATTTCACTGGCTCCTCCCAACAACCCTATTAGTTGCTGTAGTTTTCTCTGTTTATAAATGAGGAAACAGGCATAGAAAGGTGAAATCTGTCCAAGTTACGCAATTAAAAATAGTAACATTTCGGTGCTTGAGTTCTCATTACTGTTTGAGTGCAGTAATAATAAAAACATGGAATCCTAAAATTAAACTTAAAAAGGAAAATGAAAAGGAAACTTCAAATCCACCTTACAGTGGCCAGTTTGTCTGACTTCGTAAAGGTCCACAACCTCGTGGGAGCACACCTGTGTGTCCTTTCTGTCCCGGCAGCAGGCAGAATCCTATATACATGTGTGCCACAAACCCCTTTCCGTTGGCAAGGTAGCTCTAGGGGAAGCTGGCTGGCACTGCCCCTTTTCCAGTCCTGCCACTGTGACTATAGGGGGCAAGGTTAAAGAATAAATACCAGCCAGTGTGGTTGCACATACCTGTAACCAGTACTCAGGGAGGCAGAGACAGGAGGATCAAAGTTTGAGCCCAGCCCAGACAACTTAGCAACTTAGCAAGATAAATGAGGAGTCTCAAAAAAAATGGTGAGCCAGCCAAATAGCTCAGTGGACTAAAGCGCTGCCGTGCTGGGCCAGCCCCTAGGGCGCACTGAGACAGCAATTAAGACTGGGGGTGGTGGCACGCGCCTGTAATCCCAGCTCTTGGGAGGCTGGGACTTCTGAAGGGAGGCCTGGCACGCAGGACCCTGGCCTCTATGGGTAGCCGCTCCCAGGACACAGGAAACAGGTTGAGGTACTGCAGTGACTCTCGTCTGGGGATTCCACCTTCCCCAACACCAACACTGGCTGTGGATGACTGCACTGCAGGTATGTGTATAAGGAGCTGGGAGTGGAGCAGCGATCTCAACCAATTAAATTCTTGTGAATTCCATCCTCTCAGAATCCAGGGCAGAGTCTGACTCATAGCCAGGAGAATTTCTGGTGTCAAGATCTCCTACAATCTTTCCAGTCACTTTAAATCATGCTGTTCCTGGACCACAGAATCATGACCACGTGAGGAAAAAAATATAGGGCCATAATGACAAGGGCAAAGACGGTTGGTCCAGACAGATCCCTGCTGCCGTGGGTGTGGCTAACCACCACTATCAGGGTCACCTCGCTGAGGCATGACTCACCGCCTTCCATGTCTTCTCAATTGGTTGTAAAACTGCAGCTAGGACTCTGCCCTATCTGTGCCTATGGGGACAGGGCCAGCTCCTCGCAGCTGGGGAGCCAGTAAGAACTCAGGTGAGGATCTCCCAGGAGCCTGAGTCAGGAATCTCCCACAGGCTACACCTGACCACCTGCCAAACCAGAACCCTCTAAGGTAAACTTCAGCTGTGCATGGTCTTCCCCTTGAATCCTCACTAGACCCGGGATCCAGGGAAGTGGAAGTGGATTAAAGTGGGTTTATAAATGGATATGAAGTAGCCACATGGGGTCCTCTACCATCCCTCTCTGTCCCATAGAGCACCGAGGGCTGCAGCTGCACATCCTGAGTCCCCTTAGGACACAGTCCCAGGAGACTCAACACATCGCACTTGGACATCTCCTCGCCCTTACCTTATCTGAGCCATCTCCCTTGCCACCCAGAGAAAGAGCAGCGGGAAGCAAAAGAGTGTCATCCTCGCCCCCTTAGCACCTGTGAGAGATTGGCTTTCACACTTCGCTGCGTGCTCATCTTCCCTCTTAGTCTAGGACAGCCTCAAAGTTAGGAGCCATGCCTGATTCATCTTCACGTCCCAAAGCCTGCCCGGAGGCCCTAGCTCACAGCTGGCAATCTTAAGATGCTGAGGGGAAAGAGACACAAGTATCCAAGGATCTCCTTTAATACAGCAACCTTCTGAGGAGCTATTGTCCCCATCTAAGACATGGGAAAATGAGAGAAACTGAAGACCAGGAACTATTTGAGAACAGCCAACCAGTGAGGGGGCTGATCCAGGTTTGGATGACTCCATAGCCAGTCCTGGCATGAATCCAACTGTCCAGGGCCTCTCCAGCACAGGCCCCAGTGAGGGTGGGCTTCAGAAGGGGATAACATCAGCTCAAGGAAGGGATAGCCGAGAAAGGTCCAGAAACACACATTGGCCCTACTGGAAGCCCCAGGCTGCCTCTGACCCTTACCGATCTCTGTGTTTCCCACCACCAGCTTGGCATCAGGATACTGAGCTTTGAGGTCCAGCAGCCCCTGCAGGGTGGAGGCCTGGATCCAGGTCACACGCTCCCCTTGAAAACGCAGCTGCTTCCGAGGAGTGTCTTTCAGTCTCTGCAAAGTGTAGTTCACATATTTCACCATCTCCTTTTCTTACTCCTATTTCCCTGGTAAACACTTTAAGCCTGCATTGGGATCAACTCACTTTCTGGATTACTTTATACTGAATTCAGAAAGAAGATCAAGTATGTTGGGGAGAAGTGAGAAGAACTATACTAATTACTGGAGCTATTAAACAGTCATCCCACTTAGCCTCAAGAATTCATTAGTGAAATATGTGCACTTCATTTTCACATGTGAAAAAAAAAACAAAACAAAACTTTGAAGATCAAAGAAGTTATGGGACCGGCTTTGAGAGAACCCCCATTCAATGCAGAGGAAAGCCCAGGTTCCTTGCAGTGCCCCACACTGCCTCCAGGGGGTGCAGTGGAGAAGGGGGGAAGGGACAATACCGAGAAGGATGGAGTGTCCAAAGGGAAAACAATGAATCCAGTGTGTATGGGACAACACTAGGCTTGCAAAAGAAATCTGTAAAATCAAACTTCTGGTATTTTCAAGGTTTCACAATCCAAGAGAAAATATACTGGTGGCCTATGGCAAAGCAGTTCTCTTGGCTGACTGAACCTATAAGGACATCCTCATGAACTCCATGTCCTTAAGAAATGGACACCTGAAATTTACACATGCTGTAAATAGTGGAGTGAACGTAACAAAGTGGTGCGAGCAGGTGTCTTTAAAGTTATGAACCCTGTCATTGAATATAGATCTGTTGGTTTCTAAATAAACAGACTGTTTATGTAGAGGAGACCAGGTGGCTTGGTGGACATACAAGAAACATCCACAAATAGTGATAGACACTTGCTATTGACGCATACTGTACCAGGGAGACCTAGTCCTTGTCCTCACAATCTAGCAAGGAACACAGAAATGGAATTAGTAATTGGAAGTGTGACGTGTGTGAGGAGCACAAAGTGCTCTGGGGTATGATCTCAGAGGCCTAGCAGAAAAAAGAAAGAAAATTTAGGCTGAAACATAAAGGACGTGGAAAGTGTGAAGTTTTCCGTGGGTGTGAAAATACAGTTCTCAGGAACTGACAGCACAGAGAATTCTTCCTGAGGTATCACATACCAACAACTCCGGAGGAAAGATGGGCTCCTGAGTAGGATCCAGGGGTGTGAACTCTTCCGGTTTGAATAAAGATGGTGAGAGAGTAATCTACAGGGAAAGAGAACAGGAAGTGTACAGCTCTCCACCCTTCACATGCCCAGGAGGACTGATCCAGCCCTTTATCTAGGTGAGCTGACATCCTGCAGGCTAGTAGAGGGCGGGTAGCCCCTGCATAGCAGGGACAAGAAGGCCCTGCTGGCAGGCCCAGGACCACTTGTGCACCTTTGCTTCCCCATCAACCGGCCACCACCAACTCATACCACAACGGTTCCCTCTTCCAGCCACCACTGCGAGAGACGTGTAGTACCTCCTCTGAGTTTAAGATCCCCCCTCCCCCAAGCCTTCTAGAAGGTGAAGAACTCACTTACTGTTTGGCCTTTCTTCTGGCTCATGCAGCAGTTTGGGTTGTCCCCGTTTCCTCCACAGCATCCGCCATTCTAGAAAGGCGACAAGCATTCACACGAGGATATGTGTTGTGTTTTCACAGAATCTAAGGTGCCTTGATGACCAGTATCGAGGGAGCTGCAGCTCTGATACCCGGCCCAGCATCAACAGAAGGGGAGCAGACTCCCTGCATAGAGTTGTGGCCTCTGCTACAGCCACTCTTGGTTGGCCAATGAAAATTAAATATCGCATGGGTAAACACAAAGGAGCAATGGGAAAACTTATTTCTAAAACATTTCTCAACGAAACCTAGGTCCTACTTTACCAAAATCTATCTTTGTTCTCAGTTTTCCTCTTCAGTGCTGCTTTCTGAGAAGACCCCAGGACAGAAATTCTCATCAGTTCTCTCAGGGCTTGGGCAGCTCCGCATCTAGCTCAACAAAGTTCTACGGAGCCTGGCTGGGAAGGACTTGCCCAGGACCGCTCAGGATGCCAACGGCAGTGCACGGAGTAGGGATCATTGCCTCATACACACACACACGCGCGCGCGCACACACACACACACACACAGCTCTGTTTATACAGCCTCCTAAACTCACAGCTTGGCCACTGGATGCCAGATCCTCTTGGACTACTCCAGACCACTGCATTGCCACCTTGCCCTGTGCATTTTTTTTTAATGTATTTTGTACAGGGTCTCACTATGCAGTTTGGAGTCCTCCTGTTTTCAGCCTCCCCAGTGTTGGAATTATAGGTGTGCACCACCATGCCTGGACTTGGAGGCCGGCTCAGCATGCCCAGGAGAGAGGCCAGCACAGCATGTGGTGCCAGGGATCAAACCCTGGTCCCTGCACTTGCCTAAGCAGGTGCTTAGTCTGCTAAGCTATCTCGCAGGCCCTTGCCCTATTCATTTAGACCAGAGGGAAAAAGAAAGTGGGGTTCTTTAGCTTCTCTTTTCTCCTTTCTTCTCAGAGAAGGAGCAGTGCAGTGGAAACCCCTCAGGCCTACAGAAGTGCGGCACCTGCATGTAGCAAGCTTCAGCCTCCACCACTTGGCCTCTTGAAGAAAGACCTGTTTCACTATTTCAAGCAAATGCATTTTCTAGATAAAGTGTTAGCACATTACAACTTGACCTTTTCCTTGATAATTCATTGGTGTATTTATGACAGAAAGTATTATGATGTATAGTTATACATCACTGTCCTCAAGGTCTACTGAGGTTGCAATCTGCTGGTTGCCCTGCCCCTCCCTCGCATGAGTTCCACCTTAGAAAGTAGGTTCAGTGCTTCTTGGTCTTGTTTTTAAAATAAACTTTTTTCAGAGTCATCTTAGGTTCACACCAAATGTAGTGGAAAGTATGAAGAATTATAAAATAACTTCTGCTCCCCCCTCAATCATCCCCCTCCCCCACCCACCTCCATTATCAACATCTGCACCAGCATGACACATTTGTGCAGCTGGCTATCACCTGAAACCCATAGTTTACACCGGGCTTGACACACGCAGAGGCCATGTATCCATGGGATTACAGGTATGGTGTCATACAGAAGAACCTCACACTCTCTCAGAAATCCTCTGCGCTCTCTCTGTCCACCCTCCCCACCTCCACCATGGCAACCACTGATCGTTTTACTCCTTCTATAGTTCTGCCTTTTCTAGAATGTCATATAGTTGATATCATAACACATTTAACCTTTTCAAATTGGCTCCTTATACTCAAATATTTTAGAATTTAAGGTTCTTTCATGCCTTTCAGTGCCCACTGACATTTTTACTGCTGAAAAATGTTCCAGTGTCTGAACGGATTGCAGCTTAGTCATCCATTCATCTATTAAGAGTGCGCTGGGAACTTCCAAATTTTGACAAGCAGGAATAAAGCGACTAGAGGCCATCCTGTGCAGATTTTTTTCTAGATGTAAGTTTTCAACTTCTTTGGATACATACAGAGGGCAGTGTCTACAACATATAGGAAGAGTATGTTTATTTTGTAAGAATCTGTCAGACTGTTTTTCCAGCAAAGAAGTTCTTGTCACTGTGTTCTCATTAGTATTTAGTGGGGTAAGAATTTTGGATTTGGCTGTTCTAGTAGGAGGAGTGGAGCATAGGGGAACCTCGCTGTTTTCCTTTCCTAATGGCATAGTGATGTTGAACACTTCATATGTTTACTTTTCATCCACATATATATCTTCATTGGTGAGACATCTACTCAGATGTGTATATCTGTATACACACAGTTTGTGTATATTGTAGATAAGAAATGAGCTGTGTCCTTCGAAAATATTTAATCTGAGGTTGGCTTCTCGTCTCATTCTCTTGACCTTGTCTTGTGCAGAACAAAACTTTTTAACTTGAATGAAGCCAAGTTTATCAATTACCTCTTTAATGGATCACACCTTTGGCATTCCATCAAAAAAATACTCCTTGGCATACCCCAGTTTGTCTAGGTTTTTCTCTTATGTGCTCTTCAAAGAGTCTTGTAACTTTATTTCACATTTAGGTGTATAATTCCACTTGAGTCAATGTTTTATAAGAATTAAAATCTCAAAAAAAAAAAGAATTAAAACCTCTAGCATGTCACTTGTATTTTTCTTTACGGGTTGAGTATTTCCCTAAAGTTTTCAATATAAATTTAAAACTAACACAAGTTTCAGATATATTTTCTTCTTTCCTTTAACATTGCTTCCATGGACTTCACACATACACCTAATCAAATGCATCGCTGCTACTATCCTGAACAAACTGTTACAAGTGGATCAATTCAAATAGAAAAATTAATGTTTTTATATATCTCTACTTACTCATTGCTCAATACTTTTCTTTTCCTCATATAAATCTGAATTGTTGACCTACGCCACTTTCACTCTCTCTAGAGAATTTATTTAGGTATTTCTTGCAAGGCAGTCCAGGGGCAAAAAATTCCTTCAGTTTCAGTTTATTTAGAGAAATCTTTATCTTTTCTTCGTTTTAAAGACTTTTTTTTTCTCTTTTTGAGACAGGGTCTCACTGTATACTTCAGGACTGGCCTTGATCTCACTTTGTAGCCCAGGCTTGTCTCGAACTCACAATGACCCCCTTGCCTCAGCCTTCTGAGTGCCAGGATTGCCAGTGTGTGCACCACACCCTGCTCTTGAAGACCAATTTTATAGGGCACAGAATACAGAATTCAAAGTCTCTCTCTTTCTCTTTCTCTCTCTCTCTCTTTCTTCTCTCTCTCTCTCTCTCTCTCTCTCTCTCTCTCTCTCTCTCTCTAATTTTGTCTTGCTTGCATGGTTTCTGAGAAATTGTATGTAACTCTTATCTTCTTTCTTTTATAGGTAAGTCTGGAATTTTTAAAGGACATGAGAAGTTTTATTAGAGATAGAGACATAAGCATACTCAAGAGCAGAGCGCAGGTGCTCAGAGAAAAGAGGCACCTCTGCTGGATTCTTTCAGGAGTTTTTTTATTTATCTTTAGCTTTCTTAAGTTTCAATATAATATCCCTTGAAGTAGTGGAGTTATTTTGGGTTTTTGTATGTTTGGGGCTTACTTTTGGGGTTTGCTGTTACTGTTGCTGCTCTGATTTAGTTTGGAGGTCTTTGTTTTGGTATTTATGGTGCTTGATATTTTTTGAACTTCACTGTTAGGTGATTTGGAGTTTGAGTTCACTTTTGAGACATTTTCATTCATTATGGCTTCCGACATTGCTTCCGCTCCTTTTTTCATTCTGTTTCTGGTCTTGTATTACATGTGTGCTGCACCTGTTGTCCTTATGCCACTGGGGAGGGCTCACTCTTTGCTGTTGCTTCTGGAGGTTTGCACTGTCATGTCCTCACACTCAGAGCAGCTTTCTTCATCCAGGTCCACTTTACTAATGATCTTATCCAAGGCTGTGTGTGTGTGTGTGTGTGTGTGTGTGTGTGTAGGGTCTCACCACACAGCTCGAACCTGTAGTGTTTCTCCTGTTTACAGCCTTCCCAGTGTTGGGATTACAGGTATGCACCACCATGCTGGGACTCGGTCACTGGCTCAGCGCACCCAGGGACAGGGCCGGTGTGACATGTAGTGCCAGAGATCGATCCCTGGTCCCTGCACTTGCCTAAGCAGGTGCTTAGTCCACTGAACTATGTCGCTGGCCCTTCAAAGGCTATTTTTGTTTTACAGTGTTTTTATTGATAGTACTTCTCTTTGATTCTTTGCTAGAATTTCTATCTCTCTGCCTACTTTATTTATCTGTTCTTGTATGTTGCCTACTTTCTCCATTAAAATCTTTAGCCCAGTAATCATTGTCTTTTTAAAGAAAACTCCTGATTTGGTAATGCCAAGACACCCATCATATTAAGTCAAGTTCTGCTATTTGTTCAGTCTCCTCAAACAGTGTTTGGCTTTCAGTCTACCTTGTAGTCTTTTGTTAGAACACATATTGTGCAGGGTAAAAGTTCTCACTCTGAGTAGGGCTTTAGTAGTGTGCTGGTAAGTGTGAAAGAGAAGGTCCTTGCAGTCCTAAAACTGGGTTTCAGTCTTGTGATGAGCCTAGGTTGTGAGCTTCCCAGGTGTCTCCAGGGTTTCTTTTCCCCTTCCTTAGATGGGTCAGAGTAGCTAGAGGGAAGGAGGGCTGTGAATTTCTCTTCATTCAGGAAAGTTTGGCTCTTCTAAAAATAATTTCTTCTGAAGACAGGCATTGGTTAGAGGAACTGAATGTTCTGGCATCTTTCAAAATGGCTCCAGGCATATTGCAAATGTTCAAAACTCAAAACCCAGGCCTCCTACGACTGGGTCCCTGGAGTCTGTGCCTCTCATGCTTGTCCACATTAAGCCTCTGGCGATTACTGGACTGCTGTTCAGGTTCTCCTATTCCAGAAAAGGTCCCCGCAGAGCCTGTAGGTTTCTGCTCCAGTGTGTTGTGATTCTCCCCCTGTCTGCCTCCACTCGGAAGAACGAAGGTTGGTCCTATGACCTCACTTCTCTGATGGGTCTGTAAAATACATTCTGATTTTTACTTGTTTTGAGAAGAGAATGAAAACTCCAAAACTGCCAACATACCAACCAGAAACCAGAGGTTTTGATGGTGTCTGCTTTTATGTTTCTCCCACGTCCTCCCTCAATGCCAAATGGGGGCCGCCATGCTGGCTGTGAGTGATGGGCTGGCCTCCCGCAGGTCCTTCTCACCCTTTTCTACCATTTGCTGTATACAGGAAAACTGGGCAGCCCAGCCTGTTAGAACTGTATATAAGGCAGGAGCAGGTGAGCTCTGAGTAAAGGTCTTGGGGGCCTCTGATGAGTAACAGGAAGGAGACTGTGCACACATTGGGTGTGCCAGACATCTTGGTTGTACAGAAGTCTTCCCTTAGCTCTTCTCTCCCCTCCTGGAAAGACAGGCTAAGAGGGGTTGCTGCAGTGCAGCAGAACTGGGAGACATTTCAATGTGGATAGAACTCAGACCAAGGAAAAGGGTGTGATTGTCTGCTATACTCAAATGCCCTCAAATGCCCTCCTCTTTCGAGATGCTGCAAGAAATGGTTAGGCTGAGTGCCTTGGGAGAGGCTCCTGTGCTCTAAATGGATAGGTAAGTTTAATAGCCCCTAGTTCTTCGGAGAGGCCTGAGCAATTAATGAACATCATACAGTGGACAAAGGAGAAACGTGTCAGTGTCATAATTTATAGCTCCACTGATTGAGTACTTCAGATGTGCCTGGCATTATCCTACAGGCTTTGCAAGAAGGATTAATCTTTACAAGCATTATAAGATACATATTATTGTAATTCCCATTTTAGGAACAAGGAAATTTGCCCAGGGCCATTCATCAATTAAATGACAGAGAAGAATTAAACTGAGGTCATCAGACTCCAAATCTGTGATTTTGATCATTTTTTCTACTTCGTCACCAACAGTATTCTTCAGGGTGTGTGGCTTACATCCTTACAAGCCCCATCTCCTCCCCACCCACACCTTCTTGGGGTATACAAACTCAATCCTCCTTTCATGATGTGCCAACCCTAAAGCTGACTGAAAGCACATGTGCCTATAGGGTTACCCAAGTGTCTGGGTCTAGTAGACCCCAGATCAAACCGAGACCAGAAAATCTGCCTGCAGTCAGGACTACCTTGGCCTACAGGAATCCGATAAAAGCTGAGAAAGTACACCAGACAAAGAGACCAGCTCTCTGTCCTCCTTGCCAGACCACAGATGTCTAACTGTGTTTATGTAATCAGTGCCCACACGTGCAGCTGTGGTTTCTCACATGGACTTGTATGAAAACAGCAGGGGTTCACAGACTCTCTGGAGATCTAATTATCAGCCTCACAAGCTCTGCAGAGTGCTGACTGACTGCAGAAAGCAGACAGGAGAGAAAGGAGGAGGGGTGTGAGTGCTGAGCCTGGCTGCGCTGTGGTTAAGTGGCACGTTCAGCACCTCCACTGCACTAAGCCCGCCAGTCTCCGAGGAAAGGTGCTACTGGATGAAGCTGGGATGTAGAACAGCTCCCCTGTTCCAGGAAGCAGGGCTCTAGGCTTTCACTAGCAGGAAAGCCCATGCCCAATCAGATCAGCAGAATCCACGCCCCATGGCGCATGATCCAGCTGGGAGGACCCACTAACTGACTTTCTTCTTGGCATCCTTCCCAACTGTGCTCTCTGGATGTGACTGCTTTAGGACCAACTGTCCTGGGGCTGAACTCACCTTGGCAAAGGTCCGGAAGCCCTGGAGAATGGGTCTGTAGCCTGTGCAACGGCACAGGTTTCCTGCCAGCCGAGGAAAAGCACAATGTCAGTGTCAGCCCTGGCAGGGAGAATCCTGGCCCTCTTGACTCAGTTTGACTCTTCTTCCACTGCTCTGCCCTAGACTACTTCCTCCTCCTGAAAGTCTCTCTTCCTCCTCCTATTTTTACTTCCAAATGCCCATCACAGCTTCCTCTGGGAAGCATCCCTAGAGTGCCCAGGCTAAGTCAGGCCCCTCCACGTGCTCCCAGGGTACCTGGTTAGAACATTATCTGTGAATTTATCAAAGTATATTATAAACTCTCTTCTTATTCAGACTGAGCTTTGCGTCCTTTGTCCTTGTACCTGATACAATGGCTGGCATAGGGGAGGACTCAACATAATAGACAGGACGAATGATAGATTGAAGTGGTGAGTGGGTGGGGAGTCTTCTCTGTTCAGTTCAGAGAGATAGACACACGGCCCAGGAGAGAGACCAAGAAGCCAGCCCCTACCCCCTGCTTGGCATCCTGGCCCCTCCCTCATGTGTGGGCTGTGTCCTAGAAACAACTGTTTTACAGGAAGCTGAGGGAAGGCAGCCATATCACAAGCTCTACATAGTTTCTCAAATGCCAACTACCAGTGCCAAGGCCACCCTAGTGCTATGAGAGGGCAGGAAGATACCACAGGAAGCAGGTGACCCCCGAGCTCTCCAAGCCAACCAAGTCGTCTTCAAGCTAAGATAAATATTTTCTAGCAGGGCTTAGCCACCCTGAGCCTTTCTGCCAAAGAGCTGTTCCTCATTTTCCTAGCCTGCTCTTCAGGTTCACTCTCACACTACTCTGACCTCCTCAGGGCCCCGTCTCTGCCACCTGCCTCCTTAGCTGTGTCTGAAGGCCCGTACCTTGGAAGGCATCTTCAATCTCCTCCATGGTGGGTGCAGGCTGGTTCCGCAGCAGGGTATACATGCTCATGACGATGCCAGGGGTGCAGAACCCACACTGGGAGCCATGGCTTTTGGCGATTCTCTCCTAGAAGGGACAGGTGACAAAGGCACCTATGTCGACAGAAGCCTTCTCTGTTTCCCTCAAGGCCCTACTTGCAGCCACCCGTGTTGAGGACCAGTGGTTCTCCAACTCCTTGGAGCTTTAAGCTCCTTGTCTGCATAACAGAAACCATCCTACTACTTCCTTCTAAAGACTGAGTGAAATAATCCATGCAAAATGTTGTATTGACACATAATAGGCAGTTAGTCGATGTTAGTCATTAACAGGAAAGATCATTCAAGAAACAGTGACTATTCTGGGAAGCAGGTCAGGGAATTTAGGGATTTACCAAAGATCACACAAGTAAATGGAAGAACCAACTTGTTCTCCTTTCCCCACACTACCCTGCAGTCCAACTCAACTGCCCTTCCTTTCTTTTTTTTTTCATAATTTTATTGAGAAACAAATAGCAATGAGACAGTTTCAAATCAAATTGGTAGGACAGTTTCAATAATTAACACATTGTATAATGCCTTCCTAGTGGTTATTTATTGCACAAGATGCAGACATGATATCCTATTTACAAACACTATTAGAATAAATTCCTCTATTCATTGAATTAAGAGATTGTAGCTATATATCTATCCTAACCATTTTGAATACACAGATACAAAATGGTCATTCATCTGTATCCCCTTTTTTATTTAGTTCCATCATTTAAATATTATAGGTGTGTGAGCTCAGCAAAATATTCCAAAATGGTCCAGTACTCCATAATAGTATTGTGTCTTCTGCTTGACTGGCAATGTCAGAAGTTTCAACCGCCCTTCCTAGAAGACCATGGAGAACATCAGAGGCAAAGAAATAGTCCCACACCCCGCATTTCTGAGTAAAGGCCACACTCGAAGCTTAGGGCAGAAATGAGAATTGGAAAATGTGCCCAAGTGAATTTATTCTGTGCTTTTGTGCTTTGAATGTCATAGAATTCCCATGCCAAGCTGGGAGATTTTTACTATAAAGAAATTTTCTTCATCTACATGATTCTCTCTCTCTCTCTCTCTCTCTCTCTCTCTCTCTCTCTCTCTCTCTCTCTTCCCCCGCCCCGTGTCTTAGGAATATATGTTAAGTAAATTTTTCAAAATATTACAATGCCAGCACCATGCACCTATATTCCTTGGTTCCAACTGAGAACCAGTTATGCATCAGCCAGTGGAAAGGTGCTGAGAACAGCAGAGCAATGAAGAGGAGAGACAGGAGAGAGCTCATGAAGTTCACACCAGTAGGAGAAGTGCTGTCAAAAACAAAACAAGAAAACAAACCAAGAAATTTCAGGCAGAAATTAGTGCCACTTAGAGAGTTTGTACAGGGCTATAGGATGCAGAAGGCCTGATGGCTCCTCAGCGTGGTTGGTAAAAGCCACTGTGAAATGGGCCCTGCAAGCTGAATTTAATAACATGATTTGGACCAGAGAAGAGCAGAGAAGAGCATATTCCAGGGAAAGAAAACAGAAATTTCAAAAGCTCTAATAAGCTTAAGGTGCAAGGTTGCTTCTGAGTGGGACCCATGTGAACTGAAGAAGCTGGTTTCTCTGGAAGCAGGTCTTTACGAGTCAGGACAGCGTTCTGGAACTTTCTCTGTTTATGGAAGAGAGACATACAGAGTTTAGCAGGAAGTGATGTGATTTAGTTTATGTTTTTAGAAAGTCATTTTGGCTGCTACTGGGTGAGAAGTGGGTGGCAGGGAACAAGAATGGAATCAGGACGTGAAGATATTATATCTGGCCAGGCAAAAGGGGATAGTGGCTGGGACCAGGTAGCAATAATGAAAACAGATAAGATGAAAAGGATGTAATTATAGACTTGAGGGGTAGAGTAGACCCTACCTCTAGATGGAGTGAGCATGGGACATGAGAGACAGAATCTCAGTGATGCCTAGGTTTTTATCTTCAGCACCTGGGTAGACAGTTTTGCCATTGATTCAGATGGCCAAGACCAGGAAAGGAAGAAGTCGGAGAATGAGAACATTTTGCTAAGCTTCAGATTAGCTGTCTACATACTAATGCCAAGCAGGCGGTTGGGAATATGAGCCGAGCTTCTGAGAAAAGGTTAAAGCTGAAGATATTAATGTGCTTGTCATTTACCAGAAGAAGGTACTAAGCCCACTTAGGGACAGGGTGAAGAGGGAAAAAAATTGTCTGAGGGGAACCACACCCAGTGCTGATGTGGAGGTAGAAAGAAAATAGGGAAGTGTAGTATCTCAGAAACCAAAAGAATCAAATAAATTGGCAAGATGTAAAATCCAGCTTGCTACCGAATTTGGAACCAAAACAAGTACATGAGAAACAGGACTTTGTACCACCACAAAGAGAAAATTATATAGATGCGATCCTTATGTTTAAACTATGTATCATTTCTTTTATCCATTTGTTCAAAAAACAACAAATCCTCATCAGCTGTCTCATATCTTAAGCAAGTTAAACAAGTTTAGTAATTTCTCCTTTTCTGGTCTACAAAACAAAACCATAAAGGTGAAGCAATACCATCCCCACCCTGCTCTGACCTTACAGACCAGCCCAAGGGCTTCTTCCAGGGAATAAAGCCAGCTGGCTCAGCTGGAAACCTGGCTCCATGATGTCATAAAAGGCCCCCATGGAAGGCATGCCCTCCTTAAGGAAGTTTCTCCTCTGATGACTCAGGGCAGACTAAGGCCTAGCAGGCCTGACTCTGGAACTTTCTGTGATTGTAATCTCCCAGATGGCCCTCGTTTCTGTTTCCCTAAGCAAAGCAGTGGCCTTCGCTTCCCATAGTCCTCTACTCTCGATCGCTTTTGTTTGTCCTCAGAGTATCTTGATTCTCTCCACAAAACTCCTCAGGTTATTCACCGCTGTCTCCAAAATATGCACCATATCAATCCGTGTTCAGACGGCTGATTCCACCAAGGACGCGGCCGTTGTCAGGCACTCGTAAGTCTCCATCGTCTGATTTAGCATTTGCTCATTTAGCCTCCATTTTAAGGAGGGTAGAGACCATCAGACCACATTGGTATTACCCAGGCTTGAGAAATCAGGATGTAGCTACGATTACTATCGCACAGGACATGGAATCTATGTACTTTTATCAAGAGACACCAATGATCTGGAATCTGGGGAGGCTGAGGATTTCTTAAGCATCACCAAGAACAAAGTGAGGAAGCACTCTCCTCCTTCTCCTCCTCCTCCTCCCCCTTCCCCTCCCCCTCCCTCCCCCTCCCTCCCCCCACCCCCCAGCCAGACAACACTGGCTGCAGAACAAGCTTCATGTTTAGGAGCCTTCTTCCACGTTGCAGAATCAGGAGGGAATGGAGGTGGACGGGGTGGGCCACGTTGTGTCTGTTGTTCAGGCAGGGAAACTCCACCCTCTCTGCAAAGTACCCGGATCTCAAGAGTCGCACCCCTCCCCTACTCACCTGCACAGGATGCAGCCTTGTCTTTGTGCTTCCTATTCCTTCCACCGTCGTCACCGCCACGTGATGCAAGGAGCAGATGGGAGCCAGGCAGGCGTTGACAGAGTAGTGGCTAGACCCTCACATTAAGGTCATTCATTCCACGGTTCACACAGGTCCTCACAGCAGTGCTGGGCCTGCAGGACCCAGCTTTGTGTTCTCTCTCTCCATGCTACATTATGCTGTCATCTCTTTTACCAGTGTCCTTGCCTCTCTCTCCAAGACCCTGGGCCAAGGACAAGGAGCCCCTTCCTTAGGTGAGGCTGAGACCTTCCAGAGTCTTGCAGGTATAGTCTCAGCCTTACAGCTGGAAGAAGGCAGCCAGAGTCACTGATTGGCTGCCTCTTGCTCAGCCGGACTGTTCAGGCAGAGTGGAGAGGATATTTCTGAAGCACGCCCTCTCCCCACATGGGCCTTTCTTAGGCTCCTCACTGTGAGAATCTGCTTTCCTGCATTCACCTCACTCTGTGGAGGAGAAACCCTCCCACACTCAAGGAAGGCAGGAACGTTCACCAACTCTTAGAGCTTCCACATCGCTTTTTCAGTCATTACGCATTCACACAGACAATCTACATCAGTTTATGAGTATCAGCCCTACCTCAGCACTCTGCCTAGCCAGCAGCAAGTAAGGTGAATAAGATAACACCTCAGTTTTCCTGATGGGAGAATTCACAGCTGTAAAGTTCCCTCTTAGCACTGCTTTCAGACCCGCAAGTACAAACATCATATTGTCTCCCTAGTATAAAAATCTGAAAGGGTAAATGAAATTTAGAAGGTACAATAGATACCGTGAAAGGGAAAGAAGCTGTCTAAGGGGAAGGAACAACTGGGATGAGGGAAAGGAAAAAAGAAGAAAGGAAGAAAAACATACATATCTATATATTCAGGGTAGCTGGATAATTGTACTGCTGATTTCTACTGGTCTATTGAAAAGAACAGTCAATGCTTGAATTTTTTTTCTTCTATTTTATTTTTTGAGCAATTTTTTTTACCAATTTTGCACGCTTATATTTGATAATCTGAACAACTACTTTGGAGATAACACTATGCAATATAATAACCATTGTTGAAATCCTATCATTTTGTTTAGTGAAAGTCTGCATCATTTTTAATGTTTTTTACTATTTTTATTCTCTTAAAAAATAAATTGTTGAGATGGTAGAAAACTTAAAAACAAAATTAAAGGAAATTCATTATCTCACAAAAAGATAATATCTCTGTCCTTCAGCAACTTCCAGTCACTCCAGGAAAATACAGTGTGTATGTAAAGATGCAATTTAACAATGTTTTGGTGACTATTTCTGAAGATTGTATAGAAAACACTATAAAAAGTCGAGCTTAGAAAAGGGACAGTGGATCCAGTCTCGGTAGGTTGGAGGTGTTGCGAGGGTTTCCTGGAGGAGGAAATTCTCCTCCAACTCTAAAGAGCTGGTAAGAGTTTTCTAGAGGGAGAAGTCCTACAGGAGAAGACCTTCTATCTTATGCCACGATAAAGCACTGAGCGGGCCTGGGGCATCTGTGGGTCCCAGTAATCTAAGCCTGGAAGTATTAGCCCCATTATCAAAACAAAAGCTGGAGAAGAAATGAGGGGTGCGCTGTGAAAAAAGTTGGGCTCTACCCTGAGTGCCATGCCGCGCCACTGGAGGCCGTCACGGTATGTGGTGTTCGCCTGCAGTTGAGAGCAGTGTTTTATCAGCCATTCAGAACACAGTCCACATTCATAATCCAGGAACAGTCATGTTAAGCTGTCATCCTGCAGTGTGCTGGCTCACGTTCAGAGCCTGTTCAGAAGGCTGGAGGCTCCATAAATGTGCATACACACACACACACACACACACACACACACACACACACACACCAGGTACTCACACACTCACAAGCTGACTCTGCATTCTAGCCCCTCAGTGGACAGCTGAGCAATGGGCAGAGGATACACGACCTTGTTCCGGAGAGGATCATACTTGGAGATCATCACCGTGCATGCTCCACAGCCTCCTTCTCCACAGCCAAGCTTGGTCCCGCACAGCCCCACTGGGAGGTCCCGCATTAAGGAACGTGAACCAGGGAAAGGGAAAAGGAAAGGGCCTGGGCAGAGCTCAGGAGTAGACTCAGCCATGCCCACTCACAGCTCACTCAACAAGGGAGGTACTAGTCTTCACCCTTCTTCCTCGGAGAAGCCTCACTATGCACCAGGGAGGCAGGGACAGGACCGCCTCCTCCTCCCTGAGTGGGAGACAGCAGAGTCCCATCCCACAGCACCCAGTAGCAGCTTCCATGGGCTCTAAGATCCAGGGCTCCCCGGTTGTGGGTGCCTCTCTTGGGGCCAGGCTCTCCAGGGTCTCCTGGTGTGGTCTTACTGAACACCTAAGAGTCATCACACACCTCAGAGACTTAGCACGTGGGTGCTGGGCATGGAACAAAGTCATTCTGGCCAGCCAGTGACTTTTTCCAAGATTGACCAAGTCTTAGTCTCTCACCCTGAACTTTGCAAGCTGATGCCATCCCAGGAACCAAAATTAGGACTGGCACAGAGACTTTTGAATAGCCAGCCCTGTTACATGCAGATGGAAATTAAGATGAAGATGTCTGAGGTCAGGGATAAGTTTCAGGCCCACTTCTTACATATCCTATGGGAAGGGAATCTGATACTGTGCTCAGCCAATAGGCTGCTCAAGACAATTGCGTGTTCTCCTTCTCGGGAATACACAGGCACCCTGACTGATCTTCCCCAGGCCAACAGGCCTCTAAGCCCCCCAGATATTTACTGGAGTTGAAGGAAGTGAGGTTATTAAAAATAACCTTCAAATTCCTGGGTCACTGAGTTCATTTTCATAATGAAGTTAATAAGTGTCTGTGGTATAGCAGTACCTCATTTTCTTCTGGAAAAGAACTTACTGTGTTCCTGCGCCTACCTGATCTTCACAACAATCTGGTAACAGATGAGGCAGGAGCTACTATTTCCTCACAGATTAATAAGTGAAACAATCTGTGAGACCCAGGAGGTAACATGAGTCACACGAGCATTGCCTCGCCTGCCAGGGCCCCACACGGGACTGGTGCACCCCCTTTTTCCCCTTGCTGCCTCTTCCTACACACAGTGGGGAGGGCTTTCTGTACCCTAAGTTATTTTTATCACTAGGCAGGATCGCTGCAGTTATCTGCACGTCAGACACTTTCAGGGCACAAGAACACCAGTGGTGGCAATGTAGGTTCTAGCAAGGCCTTCTGGCCTGAGGAATCTTTCTGGGAGCCAGGGTAGAGGTTAAGGCTAAAGTCCTCTTCCCCTAGGGATTCCTAAGATTATCCCTCAGCACAGACCACAGTACTCTCTGAGGACTTCTAATTTATGTGCCAACTTTCAGTTTTAGATTTCACTTGAATTTGGACCTTTGACTTTTTGACCTTTGGATGAGCTGCTTATTATTAAGGAATTTCCGAGGCTTCTGGGCCTTCAAAATGAAAATGGATCTATTAGAAAACAAAAATCAATTTCAATAACCCCTGAGAATGGATGCCTCTTCTCAGACCTCCCAGGAAGATGGGTGGGAAGTGGAGTTTCTTATAGCCCTCCAATCCTACCCACTGAATGTTCTGCTGCAAAATCAGGATTACCCGTGAGAAGCCAACCACTTCTCACAGGGGGTGACAAGCCAGAGTCAAGGCTGTAGACTCCAGGCTCACATCTGTGAGTGTGGGACAATTCTTATATCCTTATTTTTGATCCTTATGAAATTCATCACTGGAAAGAGCCACCAGAGTCCCTCTAGGAGAATTAGGGGTTCCTTGACTGAAGTCAGAATGACACAGTTCAAAAACAGACCACTGGAAAGATCCTGATGTGGAGGAGAGGCTCTGGGCTTCAGTCCAGGCTCTGCCACCATTTGTTCAAAATACATGAGTGAAATTCAGGTCACTTCACATGTCGAGGCCTCGCTGCTTTCCCTGTTGAAAGGGGATGTAATACTTCCACGGGGTTGCCATGGCAATTCAGTGAGATGAGCTACGCAAACTGCTCTAAACTCTGCCTATACAGAGTAAGAGCTCATTAAATATTACTTCCTGTTATTATTTCTGCTGTTTTTGATGCAGGGTCCCGATATTATAATGCTCTGATAGAACAAGGTGCAAAAGGGTCTTAAGGAAGCCCTCCTCACACTGGGTGCAGAGTAGCACCCCAAAGGTCCTCCTGCTCTTGATGCCCTCCAGGACCTGCCCAATTCCCACCTCAGCTATCCTTTTCCAATAGACATCCTTTTCCTTGTCTCTTCCTGCCTGAGCAGAGGTAGAAATATTGCCCAGGAAGTCCACTTGTGCAGGAAACAAATGTAACCCAAGGAAGGGTCCTTTCCTGCAGGTGAGAAAGACCATGAAGTTCACCAGGGCTAAGGAAGGCCTTAATCAACCATGGCATCAGACTTTGGAATTGCTCAACTCTTATCTGGAAGAAATCTCATGGAAACACATGAACATTCTTCTCATCAGAGACTTGAGGGTTTCAAGCCTAAGGAGCTCCAATGACTGCCACCGAGTGGCAGAGTAACTACTAAAATGCCAGTATCCAGACTGCTGACCCAGTGTCCTCTCCTTCATTCTTCACAGTCACCCTACCCACCCCTAGGAAGTGATGTCAGGTCCAGAAGGTGAGCCCCTGGGACACCTCCTCCTCACACCAACTCCAGAGTCAGGATACGTTTTCTTCTCAGGTAAGCCAAAAGCGTTGTTTCTGGATCTGCATTTTTCTCCACCACCTAACAAAAAAAGAAAATATATCCTAGTCATGTTTAGATGTCCTTCTGTAGCTCATTTCTCCCTTCAGTGTCTCTTATAATAATGTGTAGAGTCAAAGGGAATACGCTGAATAGATTGTCAAAAACAAGATACTTTTGTCAGAAGTTTTATGATACATGCTCACACCCTTAAATACTGAAATCCTATATTCATGCTCAGATTTGGCCCCCACAGGACACTCAGCCCTGGGGCTGACTGAGGAAAGGCCCTTTCCCAAATCAAGTATGTTATCTCACTTCTTCTTATGGATCCCACCTGGGACAGCAAAGTGTCAAAATGTTGACTTCGGCTTTGCCTCCTTGAGTGTGCACTCTTACACCCAGCATGTGAAAGCCAGTCCTTTGGCCAGGACAATCCCAGATGACAACAAGACACATGCTAGAAATGAAGGGGAAACTTCAAGCCAAAGATGCACTGGTGTGTTAAGTAAGGTAGGAAAGGTTGTCTACAAAGCGAGGCACTAGTCCCCAATGCCAACTGCCAAAGGAAGTCTGTAAAAACCTATTTTATTACACATGCAGTATCAAGGCTAAAGAGGTCTGGATTCACAAGATGATCAAGAGAAGAAAATCTGTGATAGTAGTTTCTTTATAGAGAACTGGATCAGTCCCACAGCTGCCTAAAGTAGAAGGGATGGGGGTAGCTATTTCACACTTCAAACTTAGTGAGGGCCATCCTTTATTCTGCATATGCAGCCACCATACCACTTTAAAATTTCTTGTTTAAAACTTTTATATATTTATTTATGTGGTAAGGGGTCTCACTTCACAGCTTGGACTCCTAGTGATCCTCCCATCCCAGCCTCTCCAGCTCTAGATTACAGACTTGTGCCACCATGCCTGGTTTCTATGGCTCACACAGCATGCAGTACTGGGAACGGAACCCAGGTCATTCTGCTTTCCAGGCAGGTGCTTAGACCACCAAGCTATCTCCCCAGCCCCACCACCATAGCACTTCTGTAGTCTTGGAGATATGATCACCTGGCATATCTAAATAGCTAAAGGTAGACACAACACAAAATTAATAACCAGTTGGTGTAGTGTCTCACACCTGAAATCTCAGCTTTCTGGGAGGCTGAGGCAGAAGGACCACAAGTTCAATCCCAGTCTGGGCAAATTAGTGAGACCCTGTGTTCTTTTGCATCATTATCACTAACATCATCACTGAGACCTGGCGATGTAGCTCAGGGTAAAACCCCTGGATGCACTTCCTAGTACCACAAAAATATTAATAACTAGCGATGATACACTTAAGCTTAAATTGAAGAAGCAGCAGTTTGGAGTTTGGGGCACTCTTCCAGATTTTGGTAAAGGTAAGTATATGGTTGACCAGTGACCTAGGATAGGCCATCTATGAGGTAGAGAGAGCTGACTAAAATGTGTTTAGTCCCCAAAAAAGCCTAGAACAGACAGTGATAGCTCCAACAGAGTCAGTACAGAGCAGAACTCCCAGAACTGGAGCTCGGGGAAAACAGGCAGCCCGAGGCAAGGGCATCATTCATGTCATAGGATGGCCCGAGAAACACTCCCTGTGGTGGCCCCTGAGGAGTCCTTGAAACCATTGCAAGAGGAAGAAAAGGGCAGCTCCTAACACCTGAAAGCCCAGAAAGCCAAGAAGCCTTTTGTTAACGGATATGACAGTATCCATTAAATGAAAGGCTTTTTGATCTTCTCTCACACCATCCTGAGTGAAGATGGTATTTGGAAACCCAAATAGATAATAGGACTCTTTTTATTGACCATGAATAATGAAAACATTTATGGAACTGCCAGCATTTACTCTTGGACTAAAGCTTAAAAGAAATGGGATATGGGCCCAGGGAGATAGCTCAATAGAATAAGTGCTTGCGTGGCAAGCACAGGGTCCTGAGTTTAATCCCCAGTACCACAAAAAAAAAAGAGAGAGAGAGAGAGACATAAAACCAACATTTTTGTGTGATTACACTGCATGAACCCAGCTTGCTCAGTATCCTGGTTGCAAAGTTAACACAAAGAGCCACTCCTCTTCTCCTGGAGAAGAATTACAAATGCAGGTAGCAATGGTCTTTATCTCCTTACAGACTGCAAGGGTACCTTAGCAGATTACTTCCTCCTGTGCTGTTCCTTCCTCCTGTCCTTCATACCATTTTGGTTCTGTGCTGTGTCTCCTGTGATGCCTACCAATCTGTGAGCAGCCTTCCTGTCCTTTCTTTGTTCTACCAATCTTGCCTTATTGCACGGAAAATACACCTCGTGCCTCCCAGCTCCTGTGCCTTTGAGCATGCCACTGCATCTTGGCAGAAGGCAAAACACTGCCCCACCTAGGCTTATCACACTTCCCCAGCCATGTGTAGATCAGCCTGTCTTGAATTTCTAGAGAATCATTTCCACCGTGGCTCAAGGAACCAATAGGTTTCTCCATGGAAAAAACAGTTGGTGGAGACATGAGATCTGTGAATCCAAACTGGTAATAAACAAACAAGAAGAAGAAAAAGAAAGCCTTTCCAAGCAGAAGAATGCAACTAATAAATGTGATTGGCCCTTGGCAATCAGCACAAGAACTGATCCAGGTAAGGATCATCAATGAATGCTCCAGCTGGTGTGTAGAAGTTGGATGGGAAAAATATTTGTATAATCTCAAAAGTATCTGCTTACAGATTGTTAAGAGTCAAAAAAAAAAAAAAAAAAAAAAAAAAAGCTATCCTGCCTTAGCCAAAAGATCAAAGTTCATACCACAAATAATGGAAAAAACTGATACCATGTGACTCGAGCCAGAATGCACTGAGAAAGACATCCTTCTAGGGTATACCTGTTTTGAAATCAAATTATAGGAAAGCATGCGACAAACTCAAACTGAGGGACATTCTAAAAAATAACTGGGGCCGGCCAGATAGCTCGGCGGACTAAAGCGCCTACTTAGGCAGAGCGCAGCGCCCAGGGTTCGATCCCTGGTGTGCCGTGCCAGACCCACCTCCGCGGCGTGCTGAGATGGTGATTGACACTGGACGTGGTGGCACACACCTATAATCCCAGCTCTTGGGAGGCTGAAAACAGGAGAATCACTATGAATCCTATCTATGTAGTGAGACCCTGTAGACCCTGTACTAAATACATAAAAAATAAATAAATAAATAAATAAAATAATAAAACAATAACTGGCCTGTTTTCTTCAAAATTATCAATATCACAGAAAACAAGAGAATACTGGTGAGCTGCTCCATGTTCAAGAAGATTTAAGGGCCTAATCACAGGCATGATCTTGGATTCGGGGGACGGCCAGGGAAGGGAGACAAATGATACCATTGAGAAAATTATAATTCTGCAACAGATCCATAGATACTATATCAAAGCTAAATTTTCTTTTTTCTTTTTTTAAATTATTTAATTAATTATTTATTTATTTTGTGTGCGTGTGGCCAGCTCAGCCCACCAGGGGGCGGGGCGGGCTGGCATGTGGTGCTGGGGGATTGAACCGCGGTCCCTGTGCTTTGCTAAGCTTGTTCTAAGTAGGTGCTTTAGACCACTGAGCCATCTCACCATCCCCTCAAAGCTAAATTTTCTGAATTTTATAAATGAACTGTTTATAAATGAACTCTACAAATGACGTTATTCTTAGTATAAGTGGGAACAATGTCTGTCTTTTGTTTGGTTTGGTTTGGTTTGTTTCTTTGTTTTTTTGAGACAGAGTCTCACTAGAAAATTCAGGCTGCCTCTGAACTGACTATGCAGCCCAGGCTGGCCTTGAATTTATAATAATCATCCTGCCTCAGCCTCCCAGTACAAGGTTATAGAGCTGTGCCACCACACTTGGCAGGGGCATGTCTGAAACTTAACTCAGAAATAGTTTGGAAAGAAAATTTTATACCTTAGGTATCAGTTAAACACACAAACTTACGTACTTAAAAGATAGATATCTTTACATCTATGAATGTATAGATGTATATATATGAATATAGTATATATATCCAAAGAGACAGAGAAAACACTAAGGTAAACATGACAAATTTTAATAGCTGGTAAATGTGAGTAAAGGATATTTAATATTTCTTTGTTTTCTCAACTTTTCTATGAATTTAAGATAATTTTAAAATACAAAAGTTTTAAAAGACGTTTTTTATACAAGGTTGCTCAGGGCCTTTAATATCCATTCATTCATGCTATCCTCACTAATCATACCCTTACTGTGTAAACAAACTGTGCCAAAGGTTTAAGATTAGTATCCTACGTGATCAGTTTTCAGTGAAACCCAATTGCCTAATCATAATTCAACTGTCCACCTAGTCCATAGATTTCCAAGAAACAAATATACCTGGCCTCAGATACTGAATCCCTCCAGGGCTCATCTTACTGCTTTAGGTTTTGGAAAGAGCTTAGTAAATATTGACCCATATAAATGAGTGAATAGAAGCCACTGAAGTGACCATGAGGCTCTTTCTGATTGGTGTGTGTGTGTGTGTGTGTGTGTGTGTCTGTGTGTGTGTCTGTGTGTGTGTCTGTGTGTGTGTACTTGTTCAACACCTTTCAGAATGCAGGTCCTTCACCCTGAGTTACGTCATCAGCACCTTTTTTGTTTTCTAGTGTTAGATAGGTCTTGCCAAAGTCCTAAACTACTAGGTTCAAACTTGCATTCCTCCTGCCTTGGCCTCTGAGTGCTGGGCTTGTAGATACACACTACCATGCCCACCGAATATATGGCTCCTGTGGAGCTCATTCCTGAATACCTTCAGATGAACACTACATGCCCAGTCCTCCCAGATTCTTCCAGAAGCTACAAGCTTCATTTAAAAAAAAAAAAAAAGAATGGGCTGGAGATATAGATCAGCAGCACAGCACCTTCCTGACAAGCACAAGGTCCTGAGTTCGATTCCTGGTACCAAAAAAGGAAGAAATAGAGAGACTGCTCAGCAAAGCTAGAATCCTGTACCCCAAAAGCACTACCATTACAATCCCAGGCAGATTTTTCCTTTTGGTTCAACTCCAGAATAGAAGATGTGGAAGAAACAGTGAGCAGGGCCCGTCCCTCTCAGAAGGCCTCGTAGGGTTTTGTGTGTTCCATCTAACACTCTAGAGCCCGGCTGTCCACTGTGAGGAGACAGAGTCCTAACAGTGCTACAAAACTGGGAGAGAAAGAGGCTTGTCAGTAAGAACCAGTCGCCACGTTTCTGCAGACCCACACCACATGCCCAAGTGCTCCAACCTCTTTGATAACTTCGTTGCACACTATCCTCTAGTAAAATGCCAAATCCATCTTGATAAAAATAGGAACACATACAGCTCCCTTTCTTTGCTCAGAATTCCCTCACTTGGGTCGGTGTCTACAGCACTGCCTTCACGTTATTCCTCTTGACATTGCTTGTCCACCTCGCCTCAGTGTCCCAAGAAAGTCTATTTTTATAAATTATAACCTTGAGTATTTATCTATAGAAACTGGCAGGAGGAACTTCTAGAGACAGTAGGGTTTGATGTGATAACGTCCTCTAACATTTTAAAATCACTTTCTTAAAGTGAAACTAAAATTCAAGGCAAAGTATTTTTTACCAAGGCAGTTTACCTCAAAATGATCTTTTCTAAATCCAGAGTATAACAGCAAGCCACCTCGAAGGAAAATGTTCTACTTTCACATATAAATTAATGACTTGATAATAAATAATAAAATCTGTAAGATCTGGCTTTGGAAGTCATTGGGCCCAATTGTTTACTCACTGTAAACCTCACTTGTAAAAATTCCAGAGATGGTACCTTTGTGTAAATAACAACTCTAGGAAGAAAACTCAACAGCTGTTTCCTACATCTCTATGCTATATGTGTGAATCCAAAGATGTTTAAGTCGTTAGGACAGTGAGGAAGCACAAGTTCAAGCCTGGGAGCCACTTAATCATTTAATGAGACCTGGTCTCAAAATAGAAACTAAAGAGTTGGCGCAAAAGTACTACCATCTCCAAAGTGGAGCTTCCTCCTGCCTTTTGTTTTGGCACCAGGTGCCCAGCATCTCCAAGAGATAGCTGGCTAGCCCAGCCCCACTAGTAATTCCACCCAAACCAAATAGCCTTTGCAGCTCTAGTGTGCAGCAACTTGTGAGATTTTCTTTTTACTCACCCAAAAACGTCTTGAGAGTTGAAGTCATTTTTTTCACTCAGTGCAAAGAAAGCCAATGAAACGAAACAAATAAAATGACTTTTCTTTGGGGATCTCGTGGACACGTTCATCACTCACATGTTCCACGTGACCAGCTACAATATGTAACTATGCCTTCTCTTTTGGGACATGGTCCAGTCACCAGTCGGGAGCTAAAGCAATACAGCCCTCTTGGTGCAGAGGGGACCAGTGAAGCTGGAGACAGTGTCATGGTGTTCCCCCCCCCCACACCTATACCCAAGTTGCAAAGATGCTCACCCTGTGACACCCAAGGACTGTGGCACCCACACCACCCTTCCTAGGTCCCTGGGCGTCGATGAAGTGAATCTTAGTAGGCAAGAGATTTCCAGAATATATGTCCAGAGCTAGGGGAGGTGTTCTTTATGAAAAAGATCGTGGCTTGCCACAAGGTGTCACTATATGTTCCCTCATGGTAAATCAAGATCCACTCATGTACATAATATGTCAAAATCACAATATGGTATCAGTGGCTATGCAGGTCTGACGTTAGCAAGAAAACACATTCCTGTTCCTTTCTCAGGAAAGAAAACCACCAAAGCACGGCATGTTTTTTATTAAACACAGGAACAGACGGAGGGGGCAGAGGGCCTCCCGGCTCACCTAGAACTTTCTCTTACGCTGCTGCCTGTGTGTACAGAAGAGCTGGCAGCCAGCTCACAGGAGTTTCTCTTCTCCTCTCACCGCATCCCTCCCTCTATTCCTTTGCCCCTTGAGTGTCCTGCCTGTACACCAGCCCTGAGGGGTCTTCCTTCCCAATGTCACCAGAATATAGCAACACCTCTGAAAGGAGAGAGAGGAGAACAAGTAAGAAGGAATAGGCCAGACAGAAACAACCAGCACTTCCTCTTCCAGAGTAAACGCATCTCCTCCCAGGGACCATGGACTGCAGAGGTAAACTTTCTGCTTACCTTTCTGCCATTCACAAAGAAAACCAACTCGTCAACTGTCATCGTCCCTGGTGGAATCCCTGAACTCCAGGTACCTCACGCCTCAGACACCGGTAGTTACTGCTACGCTGCAACTTGAAAGTTACTCCTCCCCATAAAAATGAAACTAAATTGGCCAATGAGAGAGAACCAGCTTACAGCTGCAAGGACAGACAGTTCTTGGCAAAAGCCACTGTTTTATATAACCCAGGAAAATGAAAACAATCATACATGGCATACTGTCTCCTCCAGGGTCGAAGCATGCGGGAAAGTTTATCCACATATCAGGCAGGCCTGTGTCTCTGTGCCAGGGACTGCAGGTCTGGAGCTTTGCGTTCAGGGAACCTGCTGCACCCTCCCGCTTGTTGCCAGGCTGACCAGCCGGAAGAGCATTTGTCAGTCACTGCCACGGTTGAGGAGCCCATTGGCTCCATTTCCTCCAACTTCACACTTGCCATTTTATCATTTAGCCTCACAGCAACAGATGCAGGGCTGACATGCACCACTGTCACTGGCTCTCACAACTGAAGTGGGGAGCAGAGTCTCAGAAAAGCAACCCAGAGGTTGAGACCCTAATCCTCCTGGGTGATCTCAGCACTCATTTAGGGCCTCCAGAGTTCAGTTGCTGTCATCCTGTAAAGGGTCTTGAGAACAATATCAAGATCAGAAGGCTAGGGGCCAGGGAGATGGCTCAGTGGAATAAGCTCTTCCCTGGCAAGTGCAAGGGCCTGAGTTCAATCCCCAGTTCTGCCAAAAAAGAAACAAAAAGAATCAGAAGGCTAACTCAGTCTGGGTCTCAGCATACCCCAGGCCTGGGGATCAAACCCCTGGCTCCTGTGCCTGCTTGCAGATTGAGACTGGGCATGGTGGCGCACGCCTGTAATCCCAGCTCTTGGGAGGCTGTAAACAGACAGATCACTATGAGTCTGATCTGGTAGTGAGACCCTGAATACCCAGTAGGCCCTTCCCTAAAATACAAAAATAAATAAATGAATAAAATAAAGATCCAAAGGCTGAGGGACAGATGCCTGCATAGAAGTGTCCTGTAAATTGGTAAAGAACTGAATGTTGTTTAAGTACTTCTATTTTTTTGGCTTTTTAAGACAGGCTCCCACTGTGCAGTTCAGGTTGGTGTTGAGCTCATTTTGTAACCCAGGCTGGTCTCGAACTCACAATTATCCTCCTGCCTCAGCCTCAAGAGTGCTGGGATTACAGGTGTGTAGCTCCACACCTGGCTTTCCAGCACTTTTTAATTTTTTTTTAAAATCGCTTTTTTTTTTTTTTTTTTTTAATTTTAGGTTCTTTCTAAGTCACTAAGTTGCCCAGGCTGGGCTCAAATTTGCAATCCTGCCTCAGCCTCCCAGAGCAATGAGATTACAGGTATGCACCACCATACCCAGCCAGAACAGAAATATTTATCCCACAACAAAGGGATTCTCAACAACATAGCGAACATCTGATAACACAACTATTTTTGTATTTTTTTTTCTTATATTTTTCTTTCAGGAAAATGCACTTAACAAGTTGTCAGAATAACTCATAAAAATACTTCAAAATACTTAATTAAAATGCACATGCCTCGTACACACGGGCCATCTTAACTCTGAACTAAAAGCCTTTCCCACGCAGTATGATGGTGCCTGCTGTGTACTCGTGTTCATCCGCACCCTAACAGACAGGCTCGCTAGAACCCAGGACCCTCCCACTTCCTCTTTCCCAATGCCTGGGTTTTGCTGTGCTCTAGTTCAGAAGTGCACTGACGCACACATTGAGCTCATCCAGCCTCTTGAAGTAGCATATTTCCCCTACATTTCTGGCAGGCTACTGGACGGGCTGGGGTGGAGAACATTAGGCAAAGCCTTCTGATACAGCACCAGCTTAGAGAAACTGACCATGCAGTCCTGCTGGAGCTGACAGCTAGTTAGATATGAGCCAGCCCAGGGAGGAAACTGCAACAGAATGTGGTCTCTACATCCTGAGTTCTTGCTCTCCAACTTCCCCTGAAAGGCACCCAAAAGGCTCACAATGTCTCATCCTACAGTTATGTGGGTCTGAGGTCAGTGTAGGCACACCTCGGAAACTAAGGCTCCTATCTGACCCAATAGATTTCATTCACATACATTTGTAGTTTTAACATCCCTTCTCCTCTTGCAGAAAATGGCCCCCATGTTCATTCAACTAAGACCATCTAAGATCCAAAACTCCCCTTCCCAATCTGATGGTGAAGTCCTCTTGTTGACTGGAAAAAGCCCAGTTAGCAACAACCTCAATCACTCCTCCGATGCTGAAAGTACCAGTAAGAAACCCACCCGGTCCCAGAAGCAGTTGCCACTTCTGGCTCTGCACACTTGGAAGCTTCCCAAGGGTATTGTCTCCTCTGATAAGCTACCACCACTCTCTTCAGGCATGTGGCCTTCCTCTGAGCCAGCCCCTCCCTGTCTTGGGAATGTCCTGTCTTGAGTAAAAGTTTGTTTCCCTAAGAGTGTACCTTGCTTGTTATGTAACAAACTGGGGGCTAAAATTGCTGCCCCTGAGCTCCTCTCCATAGACCTCCTTGTAAACAAACCTCAAAAGGGATCCAAGAAGCAAAATCCCGACACAACGCAGACCCAACACGGGCTACCAGACACTGCCCAGTCAGAGTCCAGCACAGCTTTTATTTAATCAAGAGACACAATTTCAAACCTCCCAATTTGTTCTGGACTAATGTGGGTCGGCCACTGAATTTCTGGCAAACTGCAGGCCAGTCACTATAAAACTGTGCTAGTTAATACTCATTGTAGGTGGCATTTGGATGTCTGGAATATGTTTTCTTGTCATAGCTGAGGAGATTGCAGTTGCATAGTGAATAGAAGTCAGGAATGCAGTTAAACAACCTACTAAGAAAGGGACAGTCCCCTACTACAAAGAACTATCCAGTCTGAAATGTTAACTGAGCCAAAGTTGGGTAATTCTGTCCCAAGAGAAGGAAGACAGTGGGGGAGGGCCACCAAGGCTGAGCAGTGAGTCATCTCTCCCTAATCCTCAGGCCTCTGTGACAGACAGATTTTTCCCCTACTCACGGATCCTTGTGGTTTCACAAGCCCCGCCCCTTTCGGGGTAGGCAGGCCCTGGACAAGTCCAAGGAAAACCTTCAGGTTAAAGGGCAGAAGGAAAGGCTCAGACCCTGCAGTTCAATGAGACAGACTTGTGTATCAGCGCCACTACTTTGATATGAGTTTGCAAAAATCATTCAGTCTCAATAACCTCACTTACAAAATGGAAGCTAAAACACCTACGTGGTGTTGCTCACAGTACATGCTCAATGTAATGAGTAGGTTTGCTTCTTCTCCCTCAGCCAACCTTCAGTCCATTCTCTTCTTTAGAGGTACAGTTCCTCTCTGCCTCTGTGGAGGAATGACAAGTAAAAATGAAATAAATTTTCAATAAGGTTTTCATTGTCATTCAGAAATTTTATGTAACTAGTAGTTGGAAACCCAAATATTTAAAACTTTGGCCTTAATATTACTTTTTTGTTTTGTTTTGTTTTGTTTGTTTTTCTGGCAGGATCAGCCTGCCCTAGGGGCAGGACTGGTGCCGCATGTGGTGCCAGGAATTGAGCCGCTGTCCCTGCGCTGTCCCTGCGCTTTGACTAAGCTTGCCTAAGCAGGCACTGTAGACCGCTGAGCTATCTCACTGGCCCAATATTACTTCTTATTCACCAAAATATTAACAATCATTTTCTTTTTCTGTGGCACTTATTTTATTATTTACTTCACAAAATTGTCTATATTTATTACGTACACCAGGCTCGAAATAGTTGTTTCTTGTGGAATGGCTCAATTGTGCTAATTAACATACATATTATTTCACATACTTCACATTTTGTGGTAAGGCAAAGTCATCAATTTTCAAAATATAATATATTTTTATTGAATGATAGTCAGTGTGGTGTATAATAGCTCTCTTGAACTTATTCCTCCTAAGGAAAGTTTTCTCTTCTTTCACCACCACCATTCCAACCTCCCTCCCCTAGACTCTAGAAATTCCACTCTTTCCATCTGTACATTTAATTTTTTTATATTCCATATGTGAGTAAGACTCACGTATGATGTGTAACTTATCAACGCAACCTCTTCCACGTGTATCCAAGCTATTGCAAATGACAAGGTTTTCTTTCTTGGGGCTGTTTAGTGTATTCCTTTGTGTTTATACCAAATTTTACTTTACCCACTCACTCATGGATGGGAACATAGGCTGATTTCATACCCTAACCACTGTAAGTAATGCTGTCATAAACACAGGAGAGGAGACATCCCCTTCTTTGGATATAGTATGATTGTGTGAAGAACTCTTTACATTGTTTTCCATGATGGCT